AAAATAGCATCTCCTCTTATCTCTTTCACTTAATGGCATTGTTATCAGTGGATGATAAGCATATTCTTACTTAGTTTCATTTTCTATTTTCATATGTGAAGAAACAAATATTTTTTGTAAAAAATTCTGAATTCAATTATTTTTAAAACGACACCACAACGAAAGATTTCGAAAATTGAAAAAATAAATAAAATATTGCATATTCTAGTACTTTTAATATCATCAGAAAATATGGATAGGGTCATAGCTTGTTTTTAAACATATTTCAAAAATCTCAATACTTATAAAATCTATCTACCATTTAATCAAAGAAATCTTTATCTACTCTGTCATTTAATGTGTCAATGTATCTCTTTTTGTTATTTTTGGATTCATGTTTTTTTACTACAGTATTAGATAATATCATTTCCTCTTATCTCTTTCATTTAATGGAATTGTTATCAGTGGATGATAAGCATATTCTTACTAAGTTTCATTTTCTATTTTCATATGTGAAGAAACAAATATTTTTTGTAAAAAATTCTGAATTCAATTATTTTTAAAACGACACCACTACGAAAGATTTCGAAAATTGAAAAAATAAATAAAATATTGCATATTCTAGTACTTTTAATATCATCAGAAAATATGGATAGGGTCATAGCTTGTTTGTAAACATATTTCAAAAATCTCAACACTTATGAAATCTATCTACCATTTAATCAAAGAAATCTTTATCTACTCTGTCATTTAATGTGTCAATGTATCTCTTTTTGTTAATTTTGGATTCCTGTTTTTTTACTACAGTATTAGATAATATCACTTCCTCTTATCTCTTTCATTTAATGGAATTGTTATCAGTGGATGATAAGCATATTCTTATTCAGCATCACTTTTTTTTCATTAAAGTGTGAGAAATTTAAACTGTATAGAAACAAATATTTTTTGAAAAGTATTCTGAATTCAATTATTTTGAAAATGACACCAAAGCGAAAGATTTTGAAAATTACAAAAAAAAGTTAATTGCATATTCCAATATTTTTAGATGCCATCATTAAACATGGGTGGAATACCATAGCGTTATTTGAAACATTTCTCAGTAGTCACAAAATTTACAAAATCTATTAACTCTACTTTACTTTCCATTATAAAATTGTCACAACCAGCTTAATAGCCGTTTCTTATAATGAGTTAAAGAAAATTAAATTAATCAATACGTATCAAGTATTAGATATTTTTCAAGGGTACAAATATCAAATAGTCACAAATTAATAAACCTTAAATAATTTCAAATTATATTTGATTATTTTTATTTGTAGCCCTTCCTTGATACTCCATTCGTCTCAAATAATTTGCTACATTAAGGTCTAAAATTTTGTCACAAATTAGTTGCTACATTAAGGTCTAAAATTTTGTCCCAAATTAGTTGCTACATAGAGGTCGAAAAGTTTGTCCCAAATTAGTTGCTACATAGAGGTCGAAAAGTTTATCCCAAATTAGTTGCTACATAGAGGTCGAAAAGTTTGTCCCAAATTAGTTGCTACATAGAGGTCGAAAAGTTTGTCACAAATTAGTTGCTACATAGAGGTCGAAAAGTTTGTCACAAATTAGCTGCTACATAGAGGTTGAAAATTTTGTGTCAAATTAGTTGCTACAATACAAATAGGTGGAGTAATGAATAACATCTGATGCAGTTTGGTAGATCAACATCAGGAAAATTATAATACTAATGAATTAACGATTCCATAGCAGGAAGGTAGTTTTAAGCGATTATTGGCAGAATGGTACTTACAGAATGGGGCGCGACTTTAGAGCACGCGAACCCTGAATTTTTTAAATTAATTTAGTATTGATTGAATACTTCGAAAGTAAATGTTGTATATTAATGTTATAGCAGCCTAAAATCTCTGCAAGAATGTTTGAACAAAACCATAAAATCTTCAGTAAATAATATTCAAATATTGCAACTGACTACAGACAGAGGGACAAAGTACTTTTTCTTTAAATTCGAAACATAAAAATAAAGCCTTAACTACATCCAGTATCATTTTCATTTATAGACCTTTTATTATTTGATAGACATCATTAAGTTACAGGTAAAAAATTTTTTAAGCTATTTATGATGATGTTTGATAATGAATCATTTTTTAATTTTAGGGAAATAAATTGAAGTCTTCTATCCATACGCTGGTTTGACTGTACAAGATCTAAATTGTCAAAGCGTAGCATGCAAGTTTAATCATTAAATAAATCATCCAAAGAGACTGTAAGATATTACCGGATTAAAACCTTCATTCGCTTCAAAAATATATAAATAGTAAAAAACAGTTGACATGTTTCTCAAGTGGTAAAAAAAACTGGCTCCCATTTTTACGACTTGCCAGTCGTAAATGAATAGAAACAAAGTTACTTGAAATTTAAAATACAAATTTGCCAACGAAAAATGAAAAAAATAAAGTTATGGAACAAAAACAGAAAAAACCACAGTAGCCGAGTAAGAAAGAGAAAGATTAATAAACAGAACAAGGAAAACCACATTGACGGAGAGTGACAAATCAGGGTAAAAAGCAAATTTTTTGGTTTTTTGTTTTGGTTTAAATAGTAAGCATTTATTTGTTATAAATTAATTAGTTGCACCTATTGATTAATAGGTCCCATTGAACATAAAACAGAAATATTCAAACTTCTGACATGAAAGATAATTAATTGAGAGACAACTATTGTTAAATGCAATGCATAGCAATATAATTTAAAATTCTAAATGAGAAAATACTAATGAAAATATTTCATAATTTCGTTGAGGAGAATGTGCTTTCCTTTATTTATTATTTTTATTAATTTTTGAATAAAAATAATTAAATTGAGAAGCAACATTATTCAATCGAATACTGTTAAATTGAATTCATAACTGTACAAAACAAAGTTCTAAAGAGACAAATTATAAATCGAAGTATTTAATTTTCTTGAAATCAAAAAAAAGAACTTAGATGAATTTTTATTAAGCTTTATGAAGAAATGTTGTAAATACCGTCTAAAGAATGTATAGCAATAATAAAAAGTGGTTTACAATGCATTAAAAAATGCTGCAGACTTTGAAGATAACTGCAGCCTATCGTGCACCTGAAAACTGTGGTGTAATACCTATCTGAATTTTGAGTTGAAAAACTTCAAAAATTGTGTAAATGAATATTTTACTTCAAGTTAATACCGAGTCAAGTGCTCATCGACACTATGAATGATGTGTTTAAATTTAAACGTGCCAATTACATAGAAAGGTGGCACTGTTCTTAGATGCAGGTACTCAGTTCATGAATTATGTTCGCCAATTTTGGCCTATTCCTGGAAACCGTCTAAGCAGGTGAATGTTTAATTTCGCTTTGCAATGCATTGAAAATTCCATTAGAAATGTAAACTGTTTTAAAAAGGCATGCACTTTCACTTTAATTATAAAGTAATCTATAAATTATGTAAAATAATTTCATAATATTTATTTTCAAACCACTTTATTCGAATTCGCGCTAATATTCTCGCTCTACTGCATGTATGCTTGATTAACAAACAAACTTTATTTTAAGAAATATGGTATATATGCATCCTAAATTAATGACTTTTGCTATCTAATGCATCTTTAAAAACAATTTTACTGATTCTTATGTATATCATATCTTACGGTTATAATAAATTTTAGTTTTTCTGAATAAATAAAAAAAAACAGGAGGCGGCTAATCCACACTAAGTAATGTAAAATAACCTTCTTGGTGTGATGAAGTACTTATGTTTATGAGTTACGTATGGTGTTACACCGCAAAACTTTGATAGAAAGTAGTTGCAACCATTTTTAAAGTAGATATACATTAAAATGTTTTAACAGTATTGATATTTTTAAAGCTGGAAATTTGCGAATTCGGTACATTATTCAATTATTAATTATTAAGTGTATAGTTAACCAATATTTCAGTGAGGTTGTTTAAATAGCACGCTTTAGTTCAAAGAGTCTAATTGAATTTTGCTTTATTTATATTAATTTTAAAGCTGCTTAGAATCGTAATAAAGAGAAAATATTAAAATTACTGACTCTATTCCCTGACCAAAAATATATTCAGATTGTTTAACGTAGTTTAACTTTATGTATAAAACAAATCACGTGATATAATAATTTTAACTTTTACCTGGAATAGGCTGGTTTATATCCAATTCGATAGAATTATTTCATGATAGATATTTAGTGCTTTATTTCAAAATGTGACATATTTTACAACTGTAGGTACAAAAACTCCACCACGATGTATGAAAAACAAAATTGAAAATAATGGAAAAAACTTATCGAATGAGAGAAAAAAACTGATAAATGTAAAAAGCTGATAACGAAACAAAAATAGAAGATAACTCTCTGTTTTGCTGAAATGTAATGTACAGTTCGTTAAAAAAAAAAAAAAAAAAAAAAAAAAAAAAAACGGACCACTCTGAATAAGTTATAATCTAATGATAGAATCTTCACGTTCTAGAACTTAATCTTAATGGATTGAAAGGGCGACCTCTATAATGCTAATTAATAAGTACAAGCGATATTTAAAGCTCCAAATTAGGCACAAAAACATGCTTTCTCTAAATAAAAAAACATTTTTTTTCTGCTGAATCAGATGTCTGATTCTCGAAATATATCCCGTTTCTGGGAATCCTAAAGTATGGACCTCTTAATGTTAAATTTACTTTTCGTGTATTTCGCTATATCTCGAGAACTTCCTAAGAGAAATGAAAAAATTTTGAACACTATTATTAAATTTGTTATCTCTTCCTGTGCTCCTAACTATCCGTTGGGAACAATTTATTCGCTTCTCATTTTCTAATTAATGGCGATTGGACCTGAGGCTACTCCCCTATATTTTGTTGGTCTGAAATCCAAATCCGGCGAAAAAAGAGTTATGTTTATTCAGAGAAAGTACGTTCTCGCGTCTGATTTCATAATTTCAGATGCCGTCTGCATTAAATAATTAGCATATTTGAGGTCACAATCTTGAACCATTTAGATTGAGTCTTAGAAAGGGAAGATCCGACCATTAGCTCAAAAGTTAGCCTAAATGGTCTATTTAATTTTTTTAAGTAATTCATCTTCAATAAGATGTTGAAGCCACTGGAGGTAACCCGTAAAAAAGACCAACTTCCACAAACGACCATTTTACTATGGAACAGAAAGTGGTCTCTCCCGAAAAGTTTAACTATATATTTGGTTTTTTTATTTGTGTATTAGTACCCTCATTATAGCTGATAAAAATTATTCTTTTCTAGGTAAAAACAGATAATACTGTAAGAGATCATAACTGCACTAAGTTGAAAATGGCACTCCCCTATTGTGAAAACTTAAAAAGAATTGATTTAGAACTGAATAATGCAAACTTTATATCTGCGATTCAATCAACTCTGAATAACAGTTATGCAAGAATTATTCATCTTGATAGATACATTTATCCAAGCGATCATATGCTGGCAGAATTCTCATCTCGAGTATATCACGAGGAAGAAAAATGCTTACGTCCAATGGAACAAATATGGAAGAAAACTGAGCTGGATAATAAAGGCGAAACGATATCCATGGCTGAAGTACAAGAGGGAATATTCGTGGATAAAGAAAAATGGGTTTTATTAACAACTGCAAAAAACTCTGGTGATGGTTATTTTGGTGCTGCATACTGGAATCCCGAACATCAGCAAGTTGTTATTGCACACAAAGGCACAAATCCGATGAGCGTGAATGATCTTTGGACTGATTATGAAGGTATTTTATCGAATGAATACACTTCTCAAATGAGTTCTGCGGTTTCTTTTGCCGATAATATTGCGGTCGAACTGGAAAAACTCAATAAAAAACAATCAGTCAATTTGACACTGTCAATTACTGGACATTCTTTGGGAGCATGGCTTGGACAAATTACAGCTTTTTCTACTAAATACCTAACTGAAGGCGCGAGTGGCTTTTTTGTAAGAAACAGAAAGGAAGGTTTTCATTCCCATACAGTAGTCTTTGATAGTCCTGGTTGCAAAGACATGTTGTTGAAAATGGAAAGTGACTTTGATGTACGCTACAGCGGTAAAGCCCATTCATCTTTCTTCTTGGATGTCACAATTTACCTCTCCGCACCAAATTTGGTGAATACTCTTCACTCACATCTTAACGTTGGTAATTTATATCGAGTATTTATTGAAAATATACCCCGCAGATCATCTAGTTGGGATTGTTTTCAATACACGATGGAAACTCACAATATGAACAAAATTAAAAATGCAATTACTTCCAAGGGGACATGCAATTCAAATGAAAAGATAATGAAGATTATAGACTGGCCATTAGTAAAAAAAGGATTATGTGGAATTATTGCTGAAAAAATAATTAATATATTTAAAAATATCCCCAACGAATATGAACATTTTCATGAAACAGCTGACTGTATCAACGATTATAATCCACTTCCTGATGATAGCGAATATTGTACTCTTCGTTATCAAGTGCAAAGTATGGAAAAAGGAGAATGTACTGCTAATATTTTCACACGAGCGGAGTTTGAATTTCTGAATGGTTGTCACCGGTTAAAGCAATTTTCGATGCTTTCTGTCGCAGATGACTTATTTCTTTTGCTAGATCAAAAATCAAGAGGAGTGATAATTAAAGACAAAATTGAAGAAATACTGCAAGATCTTGGAATAAAAAAGGGAGTAGGGCAAGGTATTATTAAACACAATACGGAAAAACAATTGCAAAAGTTAATTATTTGTGTCAAAAATATTTTATTTGTTTTTCCAGATATTCACAGTGAGATAACTAAATTGAAGAATTTAGAAGTTTTTATCAAAGTGTATGAAAAACAGTCTCTTAAGTATTTTAAATCTATTGAATATATTGAACTAAAGAAGGCAACGATGGAATATATTGATTTTTTAAATAACGCTGACTTGAAATTGTTGCAAATAATTTGCAAAGTGCATCCTGTAGTTGGAATCAAAAAGCTACATAAGCTTCTAATGGAGAATAAACTTGTCTATGATGCTAGTAAAACATTTTTTCTAAGTCTGAAGCAACTTTTAAATTTAGAGCAGTTTTTTGCTTTGTATGAATTTGTAAAACAATTAGATAAACACGCTTTGATGTTATTTGTTGTTGAAAGTGATAGTGATCTCTGGAAAAATGATAAGAAATTATTAATTAACTATTTTATGAAAATATTGAATATTTTAAAAGATAAACAAAAATTTAAGCTTATATTATTTTCAGGAGAGAAGAATGATTTAGAATATTCCTTAGAAGATAATGCTGAGTTTTACTATGAAATGGAAGATAAAACAAATTTAGAGATCAATGATTTAGCAGATGATTCACAAAAGATACTTTTAAATGAGACAATCTATTTCCAAGGAGAAAAGACAAAATTAAGTACATTAATAACCGAGGAGTCAAAACATGTAGTAGATAAAGGAACATTATCGAAACTCATCAACAAAGAAACGATAGAAATAGGTAAAAGTCTCCCCAATTTAGGTGATATTGAAAACTGCTACATCCATCGAATTTTTAATCAGCCTACAATTAAGAAAGATATTAAAAATGAATGCAAAATTTATAAAACCTATAACGATAAAATTCAAAAATCCAGTCTCAATCGAGTGCAAGACATAGTGTTGATTTCTGATAAAAGTGCAGATTTTAATGAATTGTGTAATGTATATAAAAATCGAAATATTCATTGGCTGAAAGAAGGAGATAACCAATTTGTCTGGCAAAAATCTAGAGGTGCTCTATCAATACTACGTGATTATATAGATACAAAAAATGTAACTGAATTTCGTGACATAGATGAACGTTTAGTAATTATAAGTGCAGTATCTGGAGCGGGAAAATCAACGGTACTGACTAAACTAGCACAAGAGATAAAAAACTTTGATTCTTCTCTGTGGGTTGTTAGAATTAACTTGAATGACTATACAGAAATATTTGCAAAGACTGACTTCATTAAAGACAAGGACAACATTTTTAAATTTATAATGGACATAGCTCCCTTAAACACACCTCTGGAGCGAGATTTATTTAAGCATAGACTTATTGCCATAGGTAAAGTTGCTATATTATTTGATGGATTTGATGAGATTGTTCCTAGATACAAAGAAAAAGTTGTTGAACTACTAAAAGCTTTAAAGCTTTCAAAAGTAGAGAAACTCTGGATAACTACACGCCCACACATGAAAAATGAACTGGAAGATGTATTAAGTGTGCTTTCATATAGTCTAAGGCCACTATCTAGAAATGATCAGGTGATGTTCATAAAAAACTATTGGTGTAATATTCTGGGATTTAGCATCAAACAGAATTTTGAGCGTTTCACCAATGAACTACAAGTGCTACTGCCCACACTTATCTCGGATAAAAATAAAGAATTTACAGGAATTCCATTACAAACAAAAATGCTAGCTGAAGCTTTTCACGAAAAATTTAAAACCTCTTATGATCTGTCCAACAATAAAGAATCAAATATATCGATAAAATTAGATCTGAGGAACTTATATGGAGCCTTTGTTGAAAGCAAGTATAAAAGGCATCTTTCAGAGAAAAAGAAATGGGATTTATCAAAATCTGGTTCAGAGTGTGAGACGCTAGCCGCATTCTTCATGAAAAAATATTCCTTGTTAGCTTTATGTGAACTTTTCGATGAAGAAGATTTAAATCAGCTTCTGGTTCAAGAAGAATTGAAGACGATAAAATTATCCAAGATAGAGATACAAGAAGGTAACGAAAATTCAGGTTTCATTAGTCATATTGTTGCTACCAAACCAATTTTTATTCACTTCAGTTTTGCTGAATATTTTGCTGCACTTTTTTTCTCCAAGAATATAGAAAGAAAAGAAGTAACAAAATTTTTTTGCCATCATGTTTATGGAGAAGAACATAACTTAACCAGCATCTTTTTCGATCAAATAGTAACTGCTGATGAGCATACCTGTAAGATGCATATTGCAGTTTTAAGCGATGATGGAGAAAAAGTAAAACAATTATTATCAAATGCAGAAAAAGCAAAAGATTTCATTAATGCTGTAGATAAAGTAGGAAGAACAGCACTGCACTTAGCTGCTGCATATGGAAATTTTTATTTGGTTAAGACTTTGTTAGGTTACGAATTTAGAGTAGATGCTAAGGATCACCTACTTGGTTGGAGGCCTTTAAGATATGCTGATAAAGACGGTCATTGGGTAACTGTTGAATTACTCCTTAGAAAGGGTGCGAATGCTGGTGACATGTATGAAGCAATGAAAAGCCTTGAAACTTACGATGTTGAGAATCCTAAAAAGACTTTATTACACAAGGCGGCTAAAAAAAGTTTGGTAAAGATTTTAGAGAACCTCATAGAAAATAAAATAAATTTGATTAATGTTGTTGATGAAAATGGGTGTACTCCTCTTCATTATGCTGCAAATGAAGAAGTTGCTGAACTTTTAATAAAACGGGGTGCCAATATTAAAGCTAAAAATATGTTTGAAAAATCACCTCTGCACTATGCCGTTCAGCACCATAAGTACGAAGTTGTTGAACTTTTAATAAGAGAAGGAGCTGATGTTGAAGCTAAAAGTGATCGTGATGAAACACCTTTGTTTTTTACTACCAGTAAGAAGGCATTCGAGCTTTTAATTGCTAATGGAGCTGATATAAATGCTAAAAGTAGAGGAAATAATACACCTCTGCACTTTGCTGTGATGAATAGAAAGGATGAGATTGTCGAGCTTTTATTGAAGAAAGGTGCTGATGTTGAAGCTAAAAATTGTTTAGATGAAACTCCTCTATTTTCAGCTGGTACTAAGAAGACATTCGAGCTTTTAACTGCACACGGCGCTGATATAAATGCTGAAAATTTAGAAAATAATACACCTCTGCACTTCGCTGTTATGAATAGAAAGGATGAGATTGTCAAGCTTTTATTGAAGAAAGGTGCTGATGTTGAAGCTAAAAATTGTTTAGATGAAACTCCTCTATTTTCAGCTGGTACTAAGAAGACATTCGAGCTTTTAATTGCACACGGTGCTGATATAAATGCTAAAAGTAGTGAAGGTTATACACCTCTGCACTTCGCTGTTATGAATAGAAAGGATGAGATTGTCGAGCTTTTATTAAAAAAAGGTGCTGATGTTGAAGCTAAAAATTGTGATGATGAAACACCTCTATTTTCAGCTGGTACTAAGAAGGCATTCGAGCTTTTAATTGCACACGGCGCTGATATAAATGCTAAAAGTAGTGATGGTAGTACACCTCTGCACTTCGCTCTTACGAATGGAGAGGATGAGGTTGTCGAGCTTTTAATTAAAGAAGGTGCTGATGTTGAAGCTAAATATTCTGATGATAGAACTCCTCTATTTCTTGCTGATGGTAAAAAGGCATTCGAGCTTTTAATTGCACACGGCGCTGATATAAATGCTAAAAGTAGTGAAGGTTATACACCTCTGCACTTCGCTCTTATGATTGAAGAGGATGAGGTTGTCGAGCTTTTAATAAAAGAAGGTGCTGATGTTGAAGCTAAAGATTCTGAGGATAAAACTCCTCTATTTTTTGCTGATAGTAAGAAGGCATTCGAGCTTTTAGTTGCAATTAGCGCTGATATAAATGCTAAAAGTAGTGAAGGTTACACACTTCTACACAACTCTGTTAAGAATGGAAATGATGAGATTGTAGAACTTCTTATAACAGAAGGAGCAGATGTAGAAGCTAAAAGTAATCATGATGAAACACCTATGTTTTTTACTGTCAGTAAGAATGTATTCGAGCTTTTAATTGCAAAAGGTGCTAATATAAATGCTAAAAGTAGTGAAGGTTATACACCTCTGCACAGCGCTGTTATGAATGGAAGAGATGAGGTTGTCGAGCTTTTAATAAAAGAAGGTGCTGATGTTGAAGATAAAGATTACTTTGAAAGAACACCTATTTTTTATGCTAGGAGTAAGAGAGTACACGAGTTTTTAATAGCGAATGGTGCTGATATTGAAGCTATCAATGGCGAAAGTTTATACGCCGATGGAGTGGGCTTTAATGAATACTTAATTTATCAACCATGCAATGATTTTCCCGGTTTGTAATAGTGTCTTAGGCAGATGTTGTGCGAAAGTTTAGAAATAGATTTTCTTCTAAAATCAAGTTAAGATTATGGTATAAAGAGATTGCTGATTATATTTCTGATTTTTATATGTATATTTTCGCAAGACAGTTTGCTAAAAAGAAATTTATCTGAAAAGCTATGATTGTAACGCCTCCTATTTTGACTGGTTTTGATTTATTGAGTTCCACCTTCTGACGTTGTGATTCATTAGATTTCGATATGATTCTGTTTGTCCTTCTTGAAATAAAATTTCTACCCCGATGTTTATATTTTTTGTACTAGGATTTCTACTAGGCTTTTTGTACTAGGATTTCTACATTTTCTACTAGGATTCTAATAATATGTATGCTTTAATTACAAAGCACTGTAATAATGTCCTCGGAACGAAGTTTTCTTTCGTATTTAATTTCGATTTAATATAGATTACAACAAAACGAGAAGCACAAAAAATTTTCATTTCTTCTACAATAAGTACTGAAAAATAAATTAACGAATTAAAGATGGAAACTGAAAATAAAATTTGAAATAAATTCATGTATGTTTAAAAATTCAAAACAAAAATAGATGTTAAATTTTAGAGTTTGATTTCCTTAAATATACTTTATACTAATAATGAATAGTGATATCTAAATGTGACTTCTAAAGTTAAATCGAAAATATTTGATATCTTTATTGATATTGATATCTATTGTTATCTAATATTTAAATTGATATCTTTATTTATTCGTTTTATGAAGAAAGCATTAACTTCATTATTCAGATGTTATTTTAAAATAAAAGGACTTCATAAATAGCGCTTTACAATTCTGCTCCGAAAAAGGTATGCAAAAAAATTTAGAGTAATGAAAAACAATTATTTGAAGTACTTCTTCAAAAAGTAAAAATTTCATTGTTATTTGCGCAATGAGTATCAGAAATTTATGTATGAATTATATAATGTTAAAACTAATATATTGATTTTATCTATTTTAGAAACTATTATTACCTATTAGCGTGTGCTACATTGTAAAACTCAAGTTGCAATGTTCATTTTAACATATGCAATTAAAACATCAAAATTTGAGGAGAAGAGGAATCTGTTTATATTTCCTGTTGTTTCATGTTGTTATTTATTCACGTTGATATTATTAATACTGTTGTTTATGTTATTATTAGTGTTGTTATTAAATATAATTATGTATCGTGTTGGCTTCATCTCATAAGGTAGTTGTTTGAGTTTTTAACAACACCAAATTCTAAGGAAATACTTATTATAAAATACCTATACCTATCATACCAGTGAAACTTCTGTTAGTTGATCACTTTGAGAGGCATAACTATAAATGTCAACTGAGACAATTGATCATCTTATAGAAGAGGGATATATGTTTTCTTTTAGCATATTATTTTTGTGTTTGTCACATTTTTATTTCAAAATTACGAAATGAATTAACTTTTTAACATGAGTTTTGTATTTTCATCATTAATCATTTCATATCTCTTAGGAAATTAAATTGAGTGACGAAATTAAATGTAATTCGTTACGTTTCTTACATATGTTTGTTACATACATTTGTTACATATCTCTGTTTTTATAAATATATTCTAAAATTATTAGTGTACAAAAACTTATATGCAATTAAAAAACTCAATATTGCATTCATTGCAACATTTAATTGCAAAAGGTGCTAANATGAACATAATAGCGAGCATAGCTACCGTTAAAGGGGTGGTATACATATAACGGTATTGATGTTTATCGATACATAATGAGTATCTTTCCAGTACGCCTTGGACAAGTAGAGAGACACACTAATCTATTTAGTTTTACTTTTTTTTTATTTATGTTTCGGATATAATTTAAAACTCTTCTTTTAAAGCAATAGATAGCAAATAACGTACCATAAAAATCCAATAGCTGTCTGAGAAGTAAGATAAAGGAATATGAAAAATATTTGTAGTTAGATTAAACAGGATGAGTTTAATCATATCTTGTTCACAAATTTGTTCATGATAATTTTCTTCATAATTTTACAATACTAATTATTTTAATAGTACTTGAGGTGTTTATTTATAGAAAAACTCGCACGAATTGTAACGTGAGTTTTGCTTTGTATGAAAAATATTTTTAATTTATTGTTATAACGTTTATTTTTCGTAGTTTATTATCCCTGTTAATTTTTCACATTACTGTTTTTCATTGTAACAAATGCCATTATATATTTTGTAAAAGTGAATTAATATGTGAAATAAAATCTCTAAAAATCGGAATTGGTTATTTTTGTAGTTTTTTTTTCAAGTTACTTTTTTTTTGCTAAAATTTATTCTCGATCTCAATTATAATTAAAAATTTCTTATTTTTCTCAAAATTATTTTAATGATTGATAGATTGTCATTTTTAGCTGATTTATCTAAGATTGTCCAAATTTGAATTTTAAATATTGAATTTAGGAGTTAATATGCATAAGCACCAAACAGTACTTTTCTTTTATAAATTTCTTTAATAACTTTCTAACTATTCCTAACAGTTCTGCTGCTTTGGTTGATGTTTTATACGATTAAGTGTAAAACAAAATATAAATGAAAGAAGAACCTAGAAAAAATTTTAAAACCTCTACTCAATTACTCGAAGAAAAGGTAAAAGGTACCTATGATAAACATAACTACGACTATTAACTGATTTTTATTTTCTGTCTTACTATTGGTTTGAGTATAGTAAAGAAGTTGTTTTTTTAAAACAGTAAATATGTCTCAAATATTAAATATACAGTGGAACCTGTAAAAGTGACCACCTGAGTAAAGTGAGCACCTGAGTAAGGTGACCAAGTTTTATATAAAGAGTCCTTTTTAAAGAGTCTTCATAAAGTGACCACCCCTACGTAGTGACCATTTGACTTGGTCCCGAATGTGGTCAATTTAGACAGGTTCCACTGTATATGAAACTGTTAATAAGAAATTTTTTTTCGATTTCATTTGACTTGGTTTTATGTCATTTGATAGATTCTAAGAATTTCATAAGATCTGCCCTGCAAAATATATTGAAATTTACTCATAAATTTTTTTTATAACTTCTGATTTATTTCGATTCGAATCACAGTAATTCACATTCGAATCACAGTTTGATTCGAATCACAGTAAAAAGTACATCTAACGAATATGCCACTTGTCTAGGTAGCAGAGTTTACCCCTTCCTTTTGCCTATCTCCTCAAAAAAAAGTAAATAAAATAAAAATAAAAACATTTTTTTTAATAATTTAGCATAAAGAACGTATTCTGTAAATTTCAAATAATTCATAAATGCCAAGAATCTAACTTATTAAAGAGCTGTCTCTGAAGCTAGGAAAAAACAAGAGTTTTTTTGTAGAATTACTTGCGTATTGCAAACCACAGTATGCAATAAGTCAAAGTTCTCTCTGTTTTTATTTAAATTCTGATAAGATAATTGGTTTTCCATGAAATCGAAATTTATCGACATCGAGTCTTTGAAATTTATCATTCTTTCACCTAATCGAACATTTAGCATTTCATTTCATATTTTTCTTATTAGATCTCGATACATAGTGAAAGTGCTTCTTTGCCTAACCTGAAAAATGTATCAGGTCCTGTTTTAACTGCCCATTCCATGTCTGAATAAAATAAATCTGCATCGTCTTATTACAGGTAAAAATTAAATTTACTATAAATTACGACATCCTTATTCTAAAAGTTACGCTTCATTCAATAAACACAGAGGTTAAATGACTTTTTTTCATCATATTCCTTACTTTTATTTTTAAATCTTTCAAAATCTTAATTTAAAAGAAAATTATTATTCAAATTTAAGATTGTTTGAACTTTGTTTCTGTTTTATAGTGTCATGAATGAAAGCTATTACTGTTTTTAAGATAGACAGATAGTGTCTGCCGAAAATGGCGTGAAACTATCTGCGATTTCAAAACAACTTATAATGTAAAAATAAGTGTAATTAGGATGTTTAAAGTATGTTTAGCCGTTAGATTTTTGCATAAATTTAATTATCACAATAATCTAATATCCTGAATTTCAATGAAAAAAGTCATTATTGTGGTCCAGTAGATTGGTTATATAGTTACAATTTTGTGCATGAAAATATCTATTTAAAGCGATATGCGTTATTTTGGACAACGTAAGACCCCTTACTTGCTTCACTCACCGACACGCAGTCTTACTTCTCAAAAAATTTGATATTTTAGGCAGGATTGTTAAGCAGATTGTCCCGTTAAAATTTTTATGTATTATTCTATACTTTTTAAAACTAATATTCTTATCTAACTCAAAGTTTACGGATTAATTAAAGATTTGGATTAATTATTGAAAAACGATTTAAACTTTTTTCAAATTACTCCATTTAATTATAGTAAAAAAAGTACTAGTTTTGAATTACGCGTATTATGAAAAGAACTATCAAGCCTATTATCTCAAATTTAATCTCTTTCATATTTCTCAAGCTTTTTAAAAAATTTTCATCAGAAATTGTACCTTTACTTGTTCAAATTAAAATAAAACACATTCATAAATCATGTCAAAAATAGTAGTTTAATTACATAAAGGCACTTTCAACTTTTAAACTATTTGCTCGATTGATTCGGCATAGTCTCATTTAATTCAACGTGAAAAAATACATTGAAAATAATGCTTCACTTATTTATATATCAATATCATATGTGTAAATTTGTGCAATTACAAATTTTAACTTTTTGATACAAAAATACCTTTACAACTTCTAAACTTTTAGCCCGATCGTTCCGGCGTGAGAAAATACATCGGCGTGACAATTCAATGCGAAATAATACATTGAAAGCAAATTTTACTGTCTAGGATAATTTCAACTCTCTTTCTCTTATCACCCCCACTTAACTCGAATAAGGGAAAAATTTACAGAGAGGAGCTTTTTAGATATCATTTGTAATAGCAAAAAAAAACTTATTAAATATTTATCGCAAAATACCAAATAAGAAAATAAAGTTATCCCGTGCGCAAATGGAACGTCTCATAGTTAGATGTGTAGTTCATATTAGACAGAGATGTGTAGACAGAGGCACCATTAACAAAGAACAATGTATATTAAGTATCATACTTAATTTTTCGTTTGTTGTAAAAGTGCGTTTTTCTCGAAATTCACTGTCATCTTCTTCTTTCGAAGCACTACAGTATGTTATATACCGAGGCTCTCCCGTGAAAATTTCGCCATTTTGTCCTATCTGCAGATATTATAACAGACAAAATCTTTCTCCATAAGTCAAGCCATCAAACTGATGATCTTCCTCATTTTTGGTCTCCGTGGATTAAATAAAAGTGAGCTTTTTAACTGCATTTATATCATCATATCGAAATAGATGTCCAAGTCTTCAAAATCTACTGTATTTTATAACTTTAACAGAACCAGGTTACTTTAACTTTTGGTAAAGTTAAACAAGAATTTCCAGTAATTATTTACATGGACTGCTCCAAATATTTTTCTTAAGATTTTCAGTTAGAAGATCGATAAATTATTTTCATATAGCTTGGTAATTGATAAGTATTTACTCCCATGATTGATTAGTGCACTTTATTATTTTTAGGGATAATGTGCTTTATTAAGCCACTAAGGTATGAAATTGTTTCTATTGCCACTTGCCAATGCCAGCTGGCCTGGTTTGTGAAACCAAGCGAGTTTAAGCCAAAAGGTTTGCTTCTTCTTTTTCAGTGGCTCCATATATATTCAATAACATGACTTCAACCACACACACGTCACAGCCCGTTTCATAGGGCGATTATGATAAATATTTGATATTTCGTACAAAATATATATTGGAGATAGTAGGAGAAAATGCTTCAATGGCTTGAGTATATTTTAAAGGAAAAATACTTTTAAAGAGGAACATTTTCCTGATTTGCGGTATTTAGGATCTAAATAAAGTGTACTGAGAGAGAAAGTATGGTTAAAACTACCAGAATATGATAAAGTTTACCGTGTTTCTTTCTCTATGGGAACACCAAAAAACTCAGTAACTTTAAACGAAGAACTACAGTAATGATTCTGAAAAATTAACAATAAAATATGGTTTTAAAATATGCGATAAATGTTGGTAAATGTATAAAAATTACATTTTATCATAATACTTTTGACCATTGCCTTGACTAGAAATATCATTATTGTACTGAACGGAAATCATACCAGAATATTGTTCTTGAATAAGTTAAGAAAATTGTTTGAATTTTTAAAAAAAAAATTAAAATTTTTTTTTTAAATATTTCGTAGATAAATCTCGTGTACTGCTGAGCAAAAGAAAAACCAACCAACGGGCAAAAAAAAATTCACAATTGAGATTTAGATATATTTTCCATTTTTTAAAATATTGCAAAAGAAATTTTACAAAAATCAATTTTTTATCAGTTTTCTAAAATTATATCATAACGTTGATAGTTCAAGCAATTGAAGTAAAATAGGTGTCAAGCCACTCTATCACTACGCTATTACATTATTTTTTCAATTGAACGAAGTTGTATTAGTAAAATAACTGTTTCTTTATGTTTATTAGTAAATTAAAGATGGTTTTAATAATAATTAACGGCCATTTCGTTAGGTAAACCTTGAGTTCTTATCTGGAATAACTTGTTTAGACTTATTGAGGAAGGTAATAAGGCAAAAAAAAAAAGTTTTTCCATTGCAAGAGATGATTGAACTGTTGCGAGGTTCAAAAGGCAAATTCAACATTGTAAAAAATAATTACGGAAAAAAGCATCAGAAAATAACAGAACGTATAAAAAAAAATTAGTTTGTTTAGGATTGTAGTTCAAAGCATTTTTTTTTTCAAAACATTCCTCGCAAGTTGCCGAAAGTGTTGCTCATTTAACGATACCCGGTGGACATCAGTAAACCTATGCCACGAAGACGAGCAACATTACCCACGCCATACTGCCACATATACCCGTTTATAAGATGAGCCCCATTCACACATCACACAACAGAGTGACTCACAAAGCGAAAGCCCCATGCCCTGAGCGGGATTCAAACCCACAACCATTAAATTCACAGTCAGGCACGCTGACCGCTCGGCCACCTCATCGGCAGATCAAAACATTAGTTTCGAAAACAATACAAAACATTAGTTAAAATTACATTACATTTGAAACCATTAGTCAAAATTTTATGTATTAACATAAAATTTTGATGCTTTAAAATAACATGAATTCAATAAGCTGTTAAAATCGCTGTAATTTAATGTTATTAAATATTTATTCAAATGAAGTTCGACATTTTTTTTTAAAATTAATTATTATACGGAGAATAATACATGCTTTGCACTTTATTTAATGGTAGGGAGAATATAAATCATAAAAAATATTAGTTTTTGAGACCTTTACACTTTCATTTTCAATGATATGATTCGTATTTTATCTGATATTTTGTTTTAGTTATCAGCACTAGCTCTAAACTTATCTCATGAAAGCGTTCAGTGTTTTATTCTATCATTTTTAGCCTGGCATTCTGTAGGTAGTGGTAGATTTTCTTCTTTTCTTTTTTAAGCTGCGAAATATGTGATAGATTATTTGTTGTCTATAACTATCCACCATCCATATCTCATCGTAAAAGATCTGCCTTAGACTTCTGGAGGTAAAAAATAAAACTTACTATTTCTTAAATACTTTAATCACGAGAGTTTAAGCTTCATTTAGTACAGGGGCGTCAAACTCAAAAGCTAACTTGGGCCAAATAAACAATGCTTAACTTTAGGTGGGCCGCAAAAAAAAATCAATGTTCATAGAGACAAATATTTTTATTTTAAATAACACATTGTAATAAACATATATAAAGTTAAATTATTGTTTGATACTTGACATCTCTTCTCTGCTACTATCTTTCCTATTTCGGGAGAAATTTTTTTGGCCGAACCTACTTTCAAAATTGACCCAACATGAGCGTTATTAATACGGTTTCGGACAGGAGATTTATTTCCATTCATAACAGAAAATAATTGCTTGCACTGATAAGTACTTCCAAACATGGAAATAATTTCATATGCGAATTTTCGAGTATTTTCAAACCTTGCCGGTAAATATTTGTAAAACTAAGGCATAACCACTTCAATGAATTTTGCCTTCAAATTTGAGTCGCACTGAATCTCAATCGCTTCCATTTGCATACTACTGGAGTCTATATTTATTGAGAAAATCTACGAAAACAAACAAAATTTGCTTTCCGAGAAATTAAAATCTTTAAACCTTGTTTCAAATTCCGTTCTAAGATTTTAAATTTTTTCTGCGTATTTTTGATACGATGCAGTATCCCTGGAACGGCAGGTGCCGCAAACCAAATAGAATTTTACATTTTCGCGCGTACAATTTAAAATGATCCGTGTAGTTTATAAATAAAGTATATTGTAATTTCACATGCTAGTTTCCTTTCTAATTCACATTTCTATTTTATTTTTACTTTGCGTCGAATATATTGACCGGGCCACAAAAATGTTCATCTCGGGCCGCGAGTTTGACACCCCTGATTTAGTACATCTTAAAAAATATAAGTATGAGTTTGTCAGTGTTTTATTTTATAACCAGCGTTGAAGAACCGATCCAATTCTGAGTTTATGACTATCAGTGTTCAATTCCGTAACCTTGTAATTTTGAAATCTACCCAGAATGCAACTTCTGGTCACGCGTTGGGACAAACTAGCCTTCGTGGCTGACTTTTTGATGGAACTAACTCGCATTTGCGTTACACGGAAAGGAAAGCCAGGAAAACCTTCCATGATTAGGCCGACGGCAAGGGGATTCTGACCTATAATCTGTCAACCACTGAGGATATATTACGTCAGCACTGTGGTTGGTGCGAACCGAAAGCAGAATTTGTATCACCACTGTGATTTGAACCTGGGTCAATTCATGAAGAANGACTGCTCGAAAGATTTTTTTAAAAGATTTCCCGTTGAAAGATCGATAAATTATATTCATGTAATTCGGTGAGCGCTTTTACTGGATTTGTATTATCACATCGGAATAGATATCCGAGACTTCATAATCTACTGCATTTTATGACTTTAACAAAATCAGGTTACTTGAATTTTTGGTAATGTTAAACACGGATTTCCAGTTATTATTTTCATAGACTGCTCGAAAGATTTTTTTAAAAGATTTCCCGTTGAAAGATCGATAAATTATATTCATGTAATTCGGTGAGCGCTTTTACTGGATTTGTATTATCACATCGGAATAGATATCCGAGACTTCATAATCTACTGCATTTTATGACTTTAACAAAATCAGGTTACTTGAATTTTTGGTAATGTTAAACACGGATTTCCAGTTATTATTTTCATAGACTGCTCGAAAGATTTTTTTAAAAGATTTCCCGTTGAAAGATCGATAAATTATATTCATGTAATTCGGTGAGCGCTTTTACTGGATTTGTATTATCACATCGGAATAGATATCCGAGACTTCATAATCTACTGCATTTTATGACTTTAACAAAATCAGGTTACTTGAATTTTTGGTAATGTTAAACACGGATTTCCAGTTATTATTTTCATAGACTGCTCGAAAGATTTTTTTAAAAGATTTCCCGTTGAAAGATCGATAAATTATATTCATGTAATTCGGTGAGCGCTTTTACTGGATTTGTATTATCACATCGGAATAGATATCCGAGACTTCATAATCTACTGCATTTTATGACTTTAACAAAATCAGGTTACTTGAATTTTTGGTAATGTTAAACACGGATTTCCAGTTATTATTTTCATAGACTGCTCGAAATATTTTTTTAAAAGATTTCCCGTTGAAAGATCGATAAATTATATTCATGTAATTCGGTAATTGACCAGCATTCACTTCCATGACTGTTTATTATTTCTAGGGATTGTGCGCTTAATTATTTTTAGAACCACTAAGGTATATGTTATTGTTTTTATTGCCGCTTGCCAATACCAACAAGTCTGGTTTGTGAAACGAAGTGAATTTAAATCAGATGTTACGCTTATTGTCAGGCCTCGAAAAACAGCTCGTCCTCGGCGGTCCAAAATTCCCCGCGGACAGCGAATTTCTCGAATCCGACGTCCGCGCGGACGGCCATTTTCCCGTCTTGACCTTTGTCATTTTAATTATTTCATAAAAGAAATACTGGGTTTTATTATTAGTAATCTAGTATTTCTTTTATTTCTGTATAATATAATCCTAGTATTTGTAATCCTAGTAACTGCTAATTCTTTGTGCTATTTATATAAATGCTTGTAATAAATAAGAGAAAATTATTCTTTTATTTATTTAGAAGCTACGGGTTAGTTTCAAATGAGGACGGGTACATTGTTGGACAAGCCGTCCTCGGGGACGGGTAAAATTTCTGAGCTTTTTCGAGCCCTGCTTATTGTTTTCCAATGGCGTTATACATGCCAAGAATATGACTCCGGTCACACACACGTCACAGCTCATTTATAAGGGTTATTACGATAAATATTTGATTTTTCGTACAAAATATATATTGGAGATAGTAAGATAAAATGTTTCAATTTTTTGAAAAGAAAAATCAATAAAAAGAAGGACATCTTCCTGATTTACGGTATTTAGCATTTGAATTAAATGCACTGAGAGAAAAAGTACGATCAAAACTACCAGAATGTAATAAAGTTAACCATGTTTCTTTCTCTAAGGGAACACTAGAAACTTTAACCGAAGCGCTACACTAATGATTTCAAAAAATTATCAAAAAAATATGGTTTTATAATGTTTGATAAAATTCCGTAAATGTGGTAAAATGAAATTTTATCATGATACCTTTGACAATTTTATGTATTAACATAAAATTTTGAAGCTTTAAAATAACATGAATTCAATAAGCTATTAAAATCGCTGTAATTTAATGTTATTAAATATTTATTCAAATGAAATTCGACATTTTTATTTAGAAAATTAATTAATATACGGAGATTAATACATGTTTTGCACTTTATGTAATAGTATTGGGAATATAAATCATAAAAAATATTAGTTTTGGAGATCTTTACACTTTCATTTTCAATGATATGACTCGTATTTTATCTGATATTTTGTTTTAGTTATCAGAGCACATGATGTATTCTTATCTCATAAAGCATTCAGTGTTTTATTCTATTATTTTTAACCTGGCATTCTGTACGTAGTGGTAGATTTTCTTCTTTTATTTTTTAAGCTGCGAAATATGTCATAGATTATTTGTTGTGTATAACTATCCACCCTCCATATCTCATCGTAAAGGATCTGCCTTAGATTTCTGGAGGTAAAAAATAAAACTTACTATTTTTTAAATACTTTAATCTCGAGAGTTTAAGCTTCATAGTACATCTTAAAAGTATGAGTTTGTCAGTGTTTTATTTTATAACCAGCGTTGAACAACCGATCCAGTTCTGAGTTTATGACTATCATTGTTCAATTTCGTAACCTTGTAATTTTGAAATCTACCTAGAATGCAACTTCTGGTCACGCATTAGGACAAACTAGCCTTCGTGGAGGACTTTTTTTATGGAACTAACTCACATTTGCGTTGCACGGAGAGGAAAACCAGGAAAATCTTCCATGATTAGGCCGACGGTTAGGGGATTCTAACCTATAATCTGTCTACCACTGAGGATATCTTACGTCAGCACTGTGGTTGGTGCGAACCAAAAGCAGAATTTGTATCACCACTGTGATTTGAACCTGGGTCAATTCATGAAGAAATGAATACTCTATCCAATATGAGTATCCGCAGCTCAAAAATGTTTGTCTTTGCTTGTATCTCTCTTGTTACAAAAGAACCATTTGTCCTAGCATACTGAAACTAGAACAGTTCACAGTGTTGGCCCCCTCAGCATCCTAAAAATCAATCAAACAATTAAATCACTCAGTCGGGATAGATGTTTCAAATTTTTTTTTCGCATTGGTTTAATAATTTAACCTGTAAGCAATTCTGCTTTGTCAAATATTTCAAAGATAACCCCTTTGGCGATAACTATCTGACAGCTCTATTTAATTAAAACAAATTGCCAAATTTCTAAATATTTAACTATTTTTTTATAATTATGTCCGAGCCAGAGGCTGAACTATAATAAGGAATAAATCAAACAATTGTTGTAATTTTGTGATTGTGAATGACAATTACCAGTTTGCAATATTCGTATTGGAAGATACGTATTACCTTCCCAATAGAGACGTAATTCTTATTGACGTATTTAATATATATATATATGCTGCTATCTAATTGATTGATAATTAGTGAATTATCAATAGATAAGTAAGGGAATTGAAATCAGTTTAGACATCTTCTATTTGTCGTGTCCGGTAAGCCCAACCATCAATATCAATAACAAGTGAGGACTACGTCATCAAATTAGCATTTCTAAAATTATCGCTACTTATTATTTTATAAGAAAACTGTCGATACGACTTTCTGTAAAACAAAATAATTTAAAATCAACAGTGGTTGAATTAAAAAACAAAAATAAAACTACTACAGTACAGAAGAGCGAAATTAATGAAGGAAATTGAGGTGACTCTCATGAGCGATGATCAATGGTATCATTTTCGCAGCGAATGATGTCAACTATATTTCATTTTATTTCGATATGCTGAACTTCTAAAATGTGCTTCGCTAAATTTAGGGAATCGGAATCACGTAAATCACAAGGAAGCTGGTAATCAGGGTAAGAAGGGTAACAAATAATAATAATTAAATGGCAGTTAGAATTATTTGAACTATTAATTGTGTCTGTTCAATTATGTATGTATTCTTGTATTCTTTTCAGTTGAGTGTATGATCCAGTAGTGTTGATTAATATGTACTGATTTATTTACTTTTATTTTACTCCGTACGAAAAACGGGCAGTCTGCTAGTTATGTGCATTTATCAATATATTTTATAATTTCAATGACACATGAAAAGTGTTCTAAAACAAACTGTGTACACCAGGGATGGCGAGTCAATGGTACGCGTGCCATTTATGGCACTCGACACAATATTTTGGGCACTCCACCGATCACAATTGTTGTTACACTGTGAAGCACATGTAACAATTAAATTAAAATTCACAAAAAATAAACAAAATAATGAACAATATTAACAAAAAAACTAAAAATTAATGCTAAAAAAACAATTAATAACCATAAAAAACAAGCTAACAATAAATAACTAGCGAAACAATTTTTTATAGTCCTGCTTAAACTAACATCTTACAACCTAATTTAAGTTATTTGTCATCTAATCTGCATCAGCAGAAGTCACATTATTGTTACTTGAAAGTTGAATTACGCGTATAACTGAGATATTGCGAAATGTATTTTTTTTTCAATGTAAATAAAGAGTTTTGAATTGATAATATTTATTATTTTCTCAATAATCACGAAGTCAAAATTATTTGACGGCACGTCTATGACCTCATTAAAGGCCTGGTTTCTTAGGACAGGACGCCGTCAGCTGGAAATCAGCGCTAACCTCTGATTGATCCATTTGTGAGTTTATAGTATACGTCATCGAACGCTCATTTTGAACTACAATTGCCGTCCAACTCAACTGCAGTTGGATTACAACGTGACGTTAACCACAGAAGCAATGGCGGACAACATCCAACAGCACATTGAAATCAGCCAAGATTTTGATTTTGTCATTAAACATAGCTTCTTCATTAAACATAGCACTCTTCATTTAGCTCAGCTATAATGTGTTTTTTCTTGGACAAAGTCATTATTTGTTCTCTAAAACACTGGTCGACAATAACAAAAGCAATACAAATTCAAAATAAATATTTGTTTACGTTATTAACGCATGCGCAATGAGAGATAATGTCTGTGTTGGACCGACTGCTCACGCTGAGCTAACAAAAAAGTATTTTTTTTGGCGTCAGCTCTACGCCAACTTTCCGCTGACGCCCAGATACCGCGCTAGTTCTAAGAAACCAGACCTTGAGCTAAGAAACCAGTATTTTGTTGGCGTCAGCGGGACGTTGACGTCCCCCTGACGCCCAGATAAGGCGCTTGTCCTAAGAAACCAGACCTTAAGCAATTTTTTAGAGAAAATGGCACGTTGGTGTCTAAAGGTTCGCCACCCCTGGTGTACACCAATCATATTTAATGATGGCACTTCAAATATTGAAATATACAATAAAACTGGTTCTTCTCTCTCCTTTTTTAATTTTAGAAATCGTTTTGCGTCGATGTCTTTTTAAGAATAATTTTATCCAATTTTCCGTAAACAAATATTTATTTCTTAATAGATGAAATTACTTACATTAAAATGAAGAAGAAAAAATTAGAAAGTGAAACTAAGTTAGAATATGTTTGTCATCCAGTGATAGCAATACTTTGAAGTGAAAGGAGATAAGAGGAAATGACATAAGATGTGGTAAATCATAGTGAAATCAAATAAATTGAATATTATACAGTGTTTTGAGTGTTTATGGCTTTCCTTAATTTGACCTAACTTAAATGCTTATAAACTTTTTCATGTGTTAAGGCCAGAAACGTATACTTAGAACTTTATACTTAGATTGATGGTTAGAGGCAAGCTGGTTCCTTTGGCATTTCGGTAGGTATATCATTACCCCAGGTAGCTTTAGGTATCCTTTGGTATACATAAAGTCTACACCTTTTTATATACACGAGTTTCCCTACATTTCATATTTATTAAAAAAAACAAGAGTATTCCAACCTATAATTATAGTAGTATTGGTCTGTTGAAAATCCCTTGTATTAGAGTATTTCGAACATTTATTGATACTGAGTATTCCTGACTTTTCAGTCTTTGATCTAATTTAAGTGCTTATTTAATTATTCATGTGTTAGCTGCAGAATTATATACTTAAAACTTTATACCTAGAATGACGAGGGTAGCCCCATAATTGTTTTGGCAGGTGTAATATTACCTCAGGTAGTTTTAGGTATACTTTGGTGTATATGAAGAGGATAACCTTTGGTATATGAGGTACCCTTCTCTATAAGCCCAGTTTTATTTATATAAAAAAACTCGAGAATTTATACGCATCTATAATTATTATTTATAGAGGAAAGGAAACTCAATTATCTAAGAAACTATTGTATACATTTAGTTCAAAAAACAGTATTCTTTTCATGGGAATAATTTCATTTACCAAATAGAATTAAATACCATGTATAAAATACGTTTTTTGTTACGTTATTTAAGATCATAGTCAAAGATAATGATGTCTAATTAATTGATCTACCAATAAACAACCTAAGAAGGGCCAAACTGGCCTCTTCTGTCTTTCTATGTATACAGCAATCTTCACTCTTTCTAAAGTTAATGCTTCAGTCAATGATATTTTGAAAAATAACCTTAATTTTGGGCCTACCGTCTCCTGCTCTCTATTGCTCTCACACCTCTGTCACAACTTTCACAGTTATTTTTTAATCACATCGCTAGCTCACCAGATACTGCATCACTAGTATACTTGCTCAAGCAATAAGTTCGTACCTAGACCAAATTTTCTCGGCGTTTTGATACCACTACAAAAGCAAAATCTCTTGTAATAAGTTATAGAAGAATGTAATACATGCAATGATTAAAATTCCAAAAAAAACATGATATTTCTCTTTATATTAATCGTAATTGATGCTGCTAATGTTACAGCTGTTATGGGTATTTACCTTTGCATTACGTTTTGTTTTTCTTCGCAAGAACTATACAACTTAGAGGCATAAACTAATGCAGGAAATAAAATAAAAGAAACGAAAATCAACAATATGCAGTTAATTCAATTATGAACAGCTGGTAAAGTTGGTTTTTAATAATTTAAAATGGAGAAAGTATCCCGCAAATTTTAACAAATTCATAATGCCAAGTATCTAACTCATTAAAAAATCGGAGAAAGCTAGGAAAAAACAGAGTTTTCTGTTCTATAACCTGCGTATTGGACGCAACAGTATGCAAATCAAAGTTTCCCGTCTTTTTATGGAAATTGTTACAAAATAATTGGTTTTGTAAGAAATAGGTTTAGAAATTGTTCACCATTCACCACTCTTCATTTAGGATGTAACACTTAAATTTATAGATTAATGAAATATTTATAATCAGTTAAACCAATGTTGATTACAAAAGAATATCATTTTCATTTTTTACCTTTGCAAAGTCATGACGTAAAAAACCCCATTATTGCAATCAAACTGTCTGTTATCTGTTGTTTTCCATTCATCACCAGTCTGAAAATTATTATATATTTTGCTCAAATGAATATCTAGCATTTCATTTCATATTTTTTTTATTCGATCTCAATACATAGTGAAAGTTCTTCCTTGCCTAACCTGACAAAAGCATTTGGCTTTGTTCTAACTGTCCTTCAGCCACGTCATAATGAAATAAATCTGCAGCATATTATTCCAGGTAAAAATTAAGTTTACTAACTCCTTATTTTAAAAGTTACGCTACACTCAATAAAACTAGAAGTTAAATTACTTTTTTTCCATTATCCTTACTCTTGTTTTCAAAATCTTTCAAAATCTTACTGTAAAAAAAAATTATTATTCAAATTTAAGATTGTTTGAACTCTGTTTTTGTTTTACGGTGTCGTCAATGGAAGCTATTACTGTACTTAAGATAGACAGATAGTGTCTGCCATTACAAAATGGCGTGAAACTATCTGTGATTTCAAAACAACTTATAATGTTAAAAAAAATGTAACAAGGATGTATAAAGCATACTTAACCGTTAGTTGTTTTGCATAAATTTAATATTCAAAATAATCCAATATCTTGAATTTCAATGAAAAAAATCATTATTGTATTCCAGTAGATTGGTTATACATTTGTAAGGATTTTCCTTTTCAAATGTTTTTAGTCCATTTTAAATGATATTTACTAGAGAAGTGACTATTTTGGATATTTAACTATTTGCAGCTTTCTATTTAAAGTAATATGTGTCACTTTGGGCAATGTTATATCACCTACTCGCTTCGCTCACCGACACTCACTCTTACTTCTCAATCATTCTGCCTTCTTAAGCAGATTGTCGAGTGAAAAGTATTATGTATTATTCTACTTTTTAACATTATTTAAAATATTTTATTAATAATATTCTTATTTAAGTGAAATTTTTCTGATTAATTAACAATTTGGATTAACTGTTGAAAAACATTTTAAATTTATTTATAAATTCTCCAGTTATTTATCGCAAAAAAAGTGTTTATATTAATACTGAAGGTACTTTTATAAAAAGCTTTGATGTGGTTATTATGTGTATAAAAAGTACTATTTTTGAATTAACTGCATTATGAAAAAAAACTATTAGTCCTATTATCTAAAACTTAATGTTTTTCAAATTTCTCAATTTTTTTCTGAGAATTTTCATGAGAAAACTCAAAGCAAAGTAATAAACATACATTACTCATCTCAAATAAGTACTTTAAGTACATAAAGGTACTTCCAACTTAAAAACTTTTTTCTCGATTGATTCGTGTAAAGTCTCATTCAATTCAAAATGAAAAATTCAATGAAAATAATTCTTCACTTGTTTAGATATCAATATCATATGTGTAACTTAGTACAATTAAAAGTTTTTACTTTTTAAATATAAGAAACTTTTATAACTTCTAAACTTTTAGTCCGATAGTTTCGGTGTGAGAAAATACATCGGTGTGACAATTAAATACAAAAAAATACATCAGAAGCAAATTTTACTGTCTAGGATAATTTCAATTCCCCCCATCATATCCCCCCCCCCCCCACTTAACTCGAAAAAGGGAAAAGTTTACAGAGAGGAGGTTTCAGATATTACTTATAATAACAAAATAACGCATTTTAAATATTTATTTAATACTTATCGCGAAACATCAGATAAAGAAAAGAAAATGATCCCATTCGCAAATCGAACACCAATTATCTCAGTCTTAGATGTGTAGTCTCATATTACTTGGCAGCTGGGCCATTAACAAAGAGAAAATATAACTAGTATATAAACATAAAATAATGATTAGTAAGTATCATGATTTATTAACTTCACAAAAAGTATTGTCACTTGTCAATCGTGTGTTTCTCTAAAAATTAAAGAAAAATTTCGAAAGAAATGTAAATGAAATGGAAATAAAAGCAGGTTTTCAATAATTTAAAATGAAGAACGTATCCTGTAAATTTCAATAAATTCACAAATGTCCAGTCAGAAGCGAGGAAAAAATAGAGTTTCTCGCTGCATAACTTGCTTATTGCGAACCACAGAAAGCAAATCAAGGTTCTCTTGCTTTTCAATTTAAATTGTGATAAGATAATTGGTTTTGTAGGAAATTGTCACTTTGTACCTTCTCCCACACCATCCTTCATTTATGACGTAACACTTAAATTTATAGAATAATGAAATATTTATAATCAGTTCAACCAATGTTGATTACAAAAGAATATCATTTTAATTTTTTAAATTTGCAAAGTCTTGATACAAATAACCCCATCAATGCAGTAAAACTGTCTGTTATCTGTTGCTTTCCATTCATTATCAGTTTATGAAATGCATCATTCTTTTACCTAATCAAACTTTTAGCATTTCATTTCATATTTTCCGTATTAGATCTCAAAACATAGTGAAAGTTCTTCTTTGCCTAACCTGAAAAATGCATCAGGCCTTGTACTAACTGTTCATCAGCCATGTCATAATGAATGTCATAAATAAATCTGCATCGTATTATTCTAGGTAAAAATCAAGCATACTATAAATTACCAAATCCTTATTCTAAAAGTTACGCTTCATTCAATAAACGCAGAGGTTAAATGACACTCTTTTTTTCATATTCCTTACTCTTATTTTAAAATCTTTCAAATCCTTAACGCAAAGGAAAATTATTATGCAGATTTAAGATTGTTTTAACTTTGTTTTTGTTTTATGGTGTCATCAATGAAAGCTATTACTTTGCTTGAGATAGACAGATAGTGTCTGCCGTTGCAAAATGGCGTGAAACTATCTGTGAGTTCGACACAGTTTAAAATTTCAAAAGAAGTGCAATAAGAATGACTAAAGTATTGGTTGGTTGGTTCTAACGCCACTTGCCACACAGGCAATCCTGCTTGGTAGAACCGCGCAAATTTAAGGCAGAGTGTGCGATACTTGTTTTTCAGTGGCGCCATCTATGGCCAGGAATTCAACTTCGGGCGCATCATACGTCACACCTGTTTATAAGTTGAACCCATTCATACATTCATTCACTCATCCGCAGATCGTAATTTTGACCTGAATCAGAGAACGATCGATCTCCAATCCGGTACCCCTAGAGGTATTGATTTGTTATGAGAACATGGAAGACTTTGCTACTCGACAGAATTTTAACGTGCATCAGTCACCAAATACACTTCGGCCGGCGGTGTTCGAACCCACGAACCTTCGGATATGGGCCCAGCGCCCTACCGACCAGGCTATCCCGGTCGTGTAAAAAGTATATTTAACCGTTAGTGTTTTTACATAAATTTAATATACAAAATAATCTAATTGCATGAATTTCAATGAAAAAAGTCATTGTTGTAGTCCAGTAGATTGGTTATATAGTTGAAAGGATTTTTCTTTTTAAATGTTTTTTTTTGTCAATTTTGAATGATATCTAAGAAAGAAGTGACTGTTTTGGATATTTTGTGCATGCAGTTTTCTATATGATGCTATATATGTCACCTTCAGCAATGTTATGCCACCTACTCGCCTTGCTCACCGATGCTAACTCTTACTTCTCAATCATTTTGTCTTCTTAAGAAGGATTGTTAAGCAGATTGTCCCGTTAAAAGTATTTTGTATTATTCTTTTGTTTAAAGATAATTGCCTTATTTCATTAATAATATTCTTATTTAAGTCAAAGTTTCCGGACTAATTAATGACATGGATTAATTACTGAAAAACTATTTATACTTATTTCTTAATTAGTCAAATAATTATGGAAAAAAGGGTGTTATATAATATTACTGAAGGTACTTTTTAAAAAAAAGCTTTGTTGTGGTTATTATTAAAATTTTCACCTGAAATTGTATCTTTTCATATTCAAAGCAACGTAAAAGACATACATAAGTCTTGTCAAATATAGTACTTTAATTACCTAAAGGCACTCTCAACTTTTAAACTATTTGTTCGATTGATTCGTGAAAAGTGTTAATTCAATTCGTGTTATTCAACGTGAAAAAATACATTGAAAGCAATGATTCTCTTGTTTAGATATCAGTATCATGTTCGTAAAAATGTAGTATTAAAATTTTTTATTTTTGCATATAAAAATCCTTTATAACTTCTAAACTATTAGTCCGATCGTTTCGGCGTGAAGAAATACTTCAGAGTGAGAATTCCATGAAAATCAATATATAGGAAACAAATTTTACTGTCTAGAAGAATTTCAATTCTCCCCCTCTTATCACCCCCACTTAACTCAAAAAAGGGAAAAGTTTACAGAGAGGATTTTATAATAACATTATAAAGTTTTTTAAATATTTATTTAATACTTATCTCAAAATGACAGATTAAAAAAAATAAAGTTATCTCACGGGCAAACTGAACACCAATTGTCTCATAGTTAGATGCGCAGTCCCTATTACTTGGCATTACTGTACCATTAACAAAGAGAAAATATAACTCGTATATAAAGTGTCATACTAAATTTTTTAAATGCTTTTTTCTCGAAATTCACTGGCATCTTCTTCTTTCGAAGGACTACAGCCTGTTACATAACAAGGCTTTGCAGCGTAGTTTCCACCATCTAGTCCTATCTGCAGTTACTATAACAGGAAAATCTTGCTCCACTAATTCAAGCCATCAAATTGGTGATCTTCCTCGCTTTCTGTCTCCATGAATTAAATAGAAGTGAGTATTTTTACTAGATTTTTATTATCATATTGGATCAAATGCATTTTATTACTTTAACAAAATCAGGTTACTTGAACTTTTGGTATTATTGAACAAGGATTTATAACTATTATTTTCATGGACGCTAGAAGATCGATAAATTATAAATTATATATGTAATTTGGTATTGACTCCCATGACTGATTAGTGCGCTTTATTCTTATTAGGGATAGTGCGCTTTATTGAACCACAAAGTTATGTTACTGGTTATATTGCCACTTGCAAATACGAGGGTTGCTATTTATATTTCTGGCCTTGGCAACAGTAAGTGTTGCTAGGCGACCGCAGACGATTTTAATCGAAAGTTTGATAATTTTAAACATAAATTCAGCAGACGATTTACCATTATAGCTTCATTTGTGTTGTTAACAGTAAATTGAAAAGTTCTTCTCTTTCAAAAAATGGAATTGAATCGTGAACATTTTCGTGTCATTATTTTTCATAACTTTCGACGTGGATTGTCAAGACAAGAGTGCTTCGATGAACTTAATTCTTTATTCAGCGATAAAGCGCCATCCTACAGCACTGTAAAAAATTGGTATAACGAATTTAATCGTGGTCGATGTTCGATCCAGGACGAATCCCGTGCAGGTCGTCCAAAATCCGTTGTTGTGCCAGAAAAGATCGATGCTGTGCGTGAACTGATAAAGCAAGATCGTCATGTGACATACCGTGA